TCAGAGCCGGGGGGGGCGAGCCCGCCAGCAAGCGCCAGCGGAGTGAAGCCCCCGGCTTCGACGAGATGGACGCTGGCAGGCGCCTCTCGTCAACGACCTTGCTTCTGGGCCGCCGGGCGCTACCGCGGCGGCGCATGGGGCATCGCGGTCTCTCGCGCGTCGTGGGCCCTTGCAGAATCTGGCGAAGGATGTCGGCTGTCCATGAACTTGGAGTGCTGCAGTTCCCTCCGGAGGCGGCGCGTCTCGGCGGCGCTGCGATGCGGCCGCGGCGGCCCCCTCCTTCGACGTCGAGGTGGCGCCCGGCAGAACGCGCGCTGCACACGCGCAGCGGGGGGTGCGAGGCGGGGCGGGGCGCCCGTCCGTGGCCACGATTCCGCGGGCCTCAGCGGGGGCCGCGCCTGCGCCCAGTCGCACCTCCAGCATTGCCTCCATGGCCTCGCGCCTCTCGAGATGGATTCGCTTTGCGCGGGCGCTTTCAATGTGGCGCCAGATGTTCCCATGTCTGGATGGACCCTGGCCCCTGGGCAGCGCGGCCGGCGCCGAGGGAGGTCGCGCGGGGGCATCATCGACCACAGCATGGCGCGCGGCAGTGCGGCGTTGCGCGTGGGACCACCATGGGTTTATCTGTCGTCAGAGCTGCGCCCGCATCACACTGTGCACTACTTTGCGTCGGTTGTGAAAGATGTGGAGGCATGGGCGCGCGCGCCCGTTGCAGTCAACCACGGTAGTAAGGATGGGGCAGCTTCCCAAGGCTACCCCTGCATCCTTCCCCATTCGGTATTCGGCGCCCTTCGGCATTCTGCTGCGCTCCGCGCGGAAAACGTCCATATGGCGTTCCAAGGCCCGCGCATCCTTACCGCGCATCCTAACTATCCTGGCCGAGTGTCAACCTCGCGGCCGGGGTGCCGAGGCGCCGGCGGGGCGCTCGCCGCCCCCGCGCGCTCGCGCCCGCGAGTGGGCGCGCGTTCCGCGCCCGCGGCAGCTGCTCGGGTGCGCCCGCGGAGAGCACGGGGCCCGGTGCTGCGCGGGATCGAGGGCGAGTTGCCCGATCGAGGTCGACGCAGTCGCTTGGGGCGGAGCACCCGTGCAGGGCGCGGGGGCCAAGGGCAGCCTCGCCCTACCGAGCTGGAACGGGAGCTGCGGAGGCGCGGAAAGCACCAGAGCAATGGCGCGGCGGCGCGCCCTCACGAGCATGGCCGATCTGCGCGGGAGAGGATGCGCGAGCGGGCGCGGCGGCTTATGGCGGCCAATGTTCTGCGCGGTGGGGTCGGTCGCGCAGACGTCTAGTTTGCTGGGGCACGCCCCTGAGCTCACGCATCTCTTTGGCAAGGTTGCCAAGGCATTATGATGCCCACAGTCATTTGGATTCTGAGGCGGTCGGCTTGGCCCCGGGGCTGGGAACATCACTGACGGCAGAGGTCGGCGCGTGGAAGGCCTCCGGGTCCATCAGCCGTGGCGAGCTCATCCGCGAGGCCCGCCATCGCTGTTTTCCTTTGCGGCGGGCCTGGATGGTGATTGAATGCCGCTGGCAGCCGCGCATTCCGAAGGCTTTCGCCTCTGTCTCCGAGCCCCTCGCCGCGTGGCAGGGGGTGCATGCTGGGTGCTCTCGCTCGACCTCGCTCCTCACCCGACTCGCCCTCCGATCTGTGCGACGCGTTCGTGCGTGCCAGGTTGTACCTGGAGGGTTAGTCGATGACCCGCCGGCCCAGCGCGCGGGGGGGGCGCCGGGGGGGGTTCGGGATCTGCGGCAGGCGTTGGCTAATTTTAAGATGGATCTCGAGCTTCTCGGCATTGTTTTCCAAGGTTCGGCCTCGGGCAAGCCTGGGTATGTTGTGGCCAATCGTCAGGTTCTGCGCGATGCAATGCCGCGGGCCCACGCTGTTCCTTCAGATGTCAAACGGAATATGAGGGACCTCTCGCGCTGGGATCGCAGGGGGCGGTTCGCCAGGCAGCGTCTAGGCAAGGCGGAGAAGCGAATGGGGCGAGTCTTCCCGCTGCAGAAAGCGGCGGGCACACGTGTCTCTACTCTATGACGCGCCGGGCTTCTCCCGGGCGCCAGCCAGCGCAGCGCTGTCACAGGCGCCACAGGCCCTGAGTTTCGGAGGTTACGAGCTGCCGTGGTGGCTCTTACTGGCGCGAAGGGTCGCGGGGGGGGGCCCTTGCGGTCTACCTCGCGTCTCAGGCCGACCCGTGGTTCAATCTTGTTATTGAGGCCACGGTGGCCCCAGTTCGTCGCCATGCAAATCTAGCTTGGATGCCGAAGGGGTCTCCAGGGCCACTGGAGCGGGCCATGGGGCCCCGGCAGGCAAGCGAAGCGAGGCGGCCACTTGGCAGCATGCCTCAGGACCGTTCTTTTTTGCGTGTCTGTCTGTGCTGCGGGTGGACCGGCCCAGGACCCCCCCGCGCCCATGAGGTCGGATGAAGGCGCCGCTGCGTCGCTGCCCCAGGCTGATCCTCCGCGCCTGGCAGACAGCGCCTGGCAGATGCGCGGGGTAAGCTCTCGCGCTGTCCACGCCAGCGCTGAGTTGTGGCTTCGCGGGGCCCGAGCCTTCGCTGGGCCCCAGACGGCCCCGAGTCGGGAGCCGAGGTCGGCGGGGGTGCATCGGTCTCCGCGGCCCGCCTCCTGGCGGCCGCGGGCTATGGCGCCTCGGCGCGGTCCCGCCCCCGGTCCGAAGCGTCGGGGCTGCGGGGCCCGCAGTGAGACTCGTGGGCGCCTGCTGCGAGAGTTCCCCGCGCTGCGCGCGCGTCGCCTCGGGCACGAGGGGGACCTGCCGACGTCAGAGTCTCTGGTCCAAGTTCGGGTTTTCTTTTCGGCCCGGGGCCCTTCTGTGCGCCGAGGGCCCCCAGACCCTGCGTCGTTCGAGCTTTCGGCGGGGCCCCCGCTGGCGCCGACAAAGATGTCTGACCCGCCGAGCGAGCCACCCATGTTCTGGTGGGGGAGCTGGGATTCTGACCCAGCCTCACGGGGCAATGCTGTTCGTGCTGACGGGTCTGGGTGTTGGGGCAGTTGGCCTAGCATCCGTGCTTGTGGCTGGGCGCGTGTCCAACTTTCGGGCGCAGGAGCCCCGCTGCGCGCCTGCTGCTGGCGCCTGGCGGACCGCAGTCCGACGGTTGGCGAGGCCGAGCACGTCGCAATGCTTCGCGCGCTGGAAAAGACGCCGTCGGTGAAAGTTGTTGTCACTGACTTGCCTGCCCTGGCCACTGACATTGAAGAGTAGAACTCGGAGTGTGAAGGTCCTGGGGCCAAGCGCGCTGCCGTGGGAGCAGATTCGCGCGGTCGCCCAGAAGCGCGGTGGAGTTCCGCTCACGGTCAACGCTGTTCTGTCCGCTCCGCCCCGCGAGCCACCGTTCGTCTACGCCAGGGGGGATGCGAGGGCAGAGTTCTTTGCCACAGCAGGTGTTGCCAATGAGTCTGTTGGCCAAGGCGCTGTTGACCTGTTCAGACTTGCACTGAAGGAGGCGCAGGGATATTCGAAGTATCTGGCTTGGGTGGGCAGGCTCGCCATCGAGCTGGAGTCGGAGTCGCCTGAGCCCGTCGGTCGTCGCGCCAGGCCGCCGCCGCCCGAGCCCGGACTGCGGAGCGCCCTGCCCACGAGGTCTGGCATCGTCCTTGCCGACGTGAGTGGAGGCGCAGAAC